GCCCTCCCACCCCCCTGGTCCAAGACAGTCCCGTGGCACCTTTAAGACAAAGTTTTATTCAGGTCCAAGCTCTCCCTCCTCTGCGAGGGCAGATCTGCACGTTCCCCCCCCCCCAATAGCTAGCAATCCAAAACAGTCCAGTGGAGCCTGAGCGGTGAGTGTTGCCTTCTGACACACTTCCAGGGGGTGTGGCATATGCAAATAAGTTATGCTAATGAGTTATGCTAATGAGTTATGCTAATGAGCTCCTGCACCTCTTTTTCTACGAAATGACCCCTGGCTGTACCTATTTATCTACTTGCAATTTCTTCCTTTCGAACTGCTAGGTTGGCAGGAGCTGGGGCCAGAGACGGGAGCTCACTCTGTCATGCAGCACTTGGGTCTCGAACTGTCATGCTACCGACCTTCCGGTCTGCAGTTCAGTATCTTAACCACTTGAGCCACTGCAGCCCTAAATGTGATAAGCTAGAAAGAGTCAATTTGATGGTATACTTACCCAATTGTAATTTAAAAGCAATCTTTATTCTAGGTTCCATCTTATCTATTTTATATGCCAATAAAGGACTGATTGATTGATTTAATACGGTTACCAACTTCCAGGTGGGACTTGGAGATCTCCCGGTATTACAATTGATCTCTGGACCACAGAGATCAGTTCACCTGGAGAAAGTGGCCGCTTTGGAGGGTGGACTCCATGGCACTGTACCCTGCTGAGGTCCCTCCCCTCCTCAGGCTCCACCCCCCCAAATCTCCAGGTTTTTCCCAAACCAGAGCTGGCAACCCTATGTACTAAGGATGGCGTTTTCCTTCTGTGCTTTCCCAGTGCAGGAAGTTCTGGTGGAAGAGCCTCCTCTGTTAGGGGAAGACCCTCTTGCACAGGGGCAAGGTGCCACTGTTAGTCAAATGCAGGGGTCTTGTTGTAGAAAAAGAGCTGCCGGAGCTCATTAGCATAACTCATTAGCATAACTTATTTGCATATGCCACGCCCCCTGACATCACCGGAAGTGACAGAAGGCCACACCCCCTGACATCACCGGAAGTGTGTCAGAAGGCCCGGCTACTTACCCTCCTGCTTCATCCTCATTCCCAAACGGAATGAGGATCGAAGCAG